AATAGCAGATGTTGATACGCTTAGTTAGGTGAATTTCCTTTAAGTTATGCGGAACCCAAACATCGAGCTTGCTTACGTTGCCAAGTTTCTTCAAATGGTTTTCAACCGTTGTATGCGACACACTGAGCTTCTCTGACATCTCCCGCGTTGAATAACGCCGGTTTTCATCCAGCAAAGCCTGAATTTGTTCGTCAAAAACGGCCGATGGTCGACCAGAACGTGGGGCGTCTTTAACTCCAAAATCTCCAAGCCTGAATTTGGCAAACCAGCGCTGACATTGGCGATCACTCATGGCATCTTTACCATTCACTTCGCACAATTTTTCGCGAGCTTCGAGCTTCCTTTTTGGAAGTAAAAAAGCAAAATATGCCGAAAATGCTCACTTTGGTCCTCCATGTTTAATTTGCTATAGCTTCCACAAATGTTATCGAAGAATTACCAAATTTTCGTCGATAGTACCTAAGACAATAAGCTTTAAAACGATACGAAAAAGTGTGACCCTGGTGCTCGATTAGTCGTAAATAAATTAGATTAAAAACGATTACTAAAAAAAACGACATGACTTTCTTGCCATTTTTTTTTTTTTAATTGTGTTTTTAACTGGAGCACTTTTAACTTTATTCATTTTACGAAACGCACGTTGGGTTAACACAATTGAGAATTTATTTTCAATGTAGAGCTGAACAATTTGAGCGCGTTTCTTTGGAGTGTATTGTTCCATGGTATCAATTGTCTTCGACTGACGCTTCCAACGTGGTATGACATTTGACGATCTGTCGACGCTGTCAAAAGTTACAGGGTTGCCAAATGGGTCAAATTTAATTTCACCCTCTAGAATTTTCGATCTTTCCATGACATCTATATGATAACGTTGTCGGACTTTAATGAAATTTTTTTCTCGATTCAATGTTATTTAAAAACTTCATATTTTTAAAATCATCATCGTGGGATTAAAGACGACGAGCGTATTATAATTTCAGTCGGGCGTTTGCAACGCAGTAAAGGAGACACCTCCACACCATATTAATATTAATATATACATATATATTAATATATACATATATATGTATATGGGGTCTGAGGTGTCTCCTTTACTGCGTTGCAAACGTCCGACTGAAATTATAATACGCTCGTCGTCTGTATATATATACACTGGTCGGCATATATATTTTGACTATAATAAAAGTAAAATATACTCGAAACTTGAACTTGCTTCTTTTAACTTATGGTGTCAATGGAAAAGTAATTTAAATACCGTTTGAATGATACCATACTTTTCTTAAAAAGTAAAAAATTTCATAAAAATCGGACAACTATATCATATAGCCGCCATAGGAAAGATCGAAAATTCTATATAGAATTAACGGAAATAAAATGATAACATCTTTATTTCTAATCAGAAAAACTGCAAAAAGAAATTTTCAAAAATAATTTTTCTTTTATTTTTTATAATTTTTTGGAAATGTTTAGAAATACGCATTTAAGCCATATTTTTCTCTTTTCCATACAAATTTTTTCCGACATTGTCACCTTCGAAAAATCATAAAAAATAAAAGAAAATTATTTTTGAAAAATTCTCTTTGCAGTTACTATCATTTTTGTTTAAAAAAACTTTTTGCATCCAAAAATTTTAGTTTTCAAGACGAGGGAAAAAGTTTAAAAAGTAAATTTTTTTGTAAACTGCCCTTTTTAATAAATATCAAATGAGTTAAAAAAAGTATGGTATCATTCAAACGGCATTTAAATTACCTTTCCATTGATACCAAAAGTTAAAAGAAGCAAGTTCAAGTTTCGAGTATATTTCACTTTTATTTTGTCAAAATATATATGCCGACCAGTGTATATTCTTGATCAGCATCACGATCTGAATCGAAATACGTCTGTACGTCTATCCGATGTTCTTCAAACAAAACTCCCAGTTTTAAAGCTATCTTGCTGAAACTGTACCAAAAGTTGTGTGGTCTTTCACCCACTTAACCCTGAACCTATTCTCCGTTTCCCTCTCACGGTACAACCGCAAGGGTTAGCCTTGGCTATTACTTCGCGAGGGCGAGATGTCCTGAAAGGCTGCAACTAGTAATTTTTTTAAATTACGCTGTTAAATTATCGAATCTTTTATCAACGAGACTAACGACCAGTATTCAAATCTTAGCCTAATACATAAATTTAATTAATTAAAATTAAGGTTTTTGGAATAACGGCCCTAGCTATTGTTGCTGTGTGGGGAGATCTCTTCGTCGAAGTCGTTTGTGGCTAGTGTTCCCGGTTAAAGACCGCGCAAGCCTATTTGGATGAGCCTGTAGTTTGATCGCATACTTTGCTTTTACATTGTCGATAACCTTTTTAACAGATCCCACGTTTAAATCTCTGTGAATGTTTTCATTCCGATTGTACCATGGAGTCCCAGTTATAGTTCTCAGTATCTTTGATTGGGCTCTCTGGATCACTTCTAGGTTACTAACGCATGCGTTCCCCCATAGCTCGGAGCCATATTTCCAAATTGGTTTGATAACAGCATTGTACAGAAGTACTTTGTACTCCAATTCAAGCAGAGAGCGAGCATTTATTAATTAGTGTAGGCTTCTTGCTTTTAATTTTAATTGTGTTCTCTTGGCTTGGATGTGCCTTCTCCAAGTAAACCGTCTATCGAGGTGGACTCCAAGATAAGTCCGTATCGTTGTTTGTGGAATATGGATGATGTTTAGAGATCGTGGGCAAGTTTGTCTATTTAGGGTAAAGGTGACGAGTTCTCACTTTTATGTGCCAATCTGCTAGCCAAAAGCCCGAGATGAACAGATAAGTTTTGCGTTGCTCTCATGGGGCACTTAGATCGACTTAAAATGGCAGTGTCATCAGCAAATGTTGAAGTTATTGTAAGACTGGTTGTCGGAAGGTCTTCCTTGAGGTACTCCAGCTTCAATTGGGTGGTAACCAGAGAGGAAATCTTTACATCGTACTGCGAAACTTCTATGCACAAGATATGACTTCAGTATTTTGTGAGTGTTCTGTGGTAGAAAATTTTGAATTTAAAAAATCAAGCCGTCTAACCAAACGCGGTCGAAGGCCTGGGCGACATCCAGAAAGACTGCGAAACAGTACTCTCGACTTTCAAATGTATTTCGTATCTCGGAGGTTATTCGGTTTACTTGCTCAATGGTTCCGTGCTTCTCGCGGAAACCAAATTGGTGGCTTGGGATGGCATTGTGGGACTGCAGGTGTTCTTTTATACGATTCAGCAAAAGCTTTTCAAATATCTTTGATAGGCACAGCTTTATGGATCATAGTGATAACAGACTTTTTCCATTGTTGTGGATAATAGCCCCATTTCATCATGCTGTTGAATATCGTGGTGAGAAGATTTACTGCACAGCTTGGCAATTCCATAATCATTTTAGGGGAGATTAGATCGTGTCCTGGCGCATTCTTTTTTTCCTGAGCCTCTATTACTCTTTTCACTTCTCTTGATTCGAATGTGATAGACAGGGTAGCCTCTGGAGTGATGATTGTTGGGAGCACAAAGCTGTTTGTTGATGAAAGCGGGTTGAAGACGTTTTCTAGATGTGCAGCAAATACATTCGTCATCTCTTCGTTGCTGCGAGCCCACTCTCCTGTTTGTGTGTGTAATGGCGATTCGCTTTCGATTGGTGGACATATACCCGATTTAGCTTTACACAGTGGATATCGTCTGCTGTTAGGGGAGAGATTCTGCAAATAGAATAACGGAGATCGATTATTTTCATCTTCTAGGGCTGTGCTCAGAAGATAGTTGGCTGTTTTAAGCAGCTCCTTCGAGGTAGGTGATCTGTGGGCTTGCCACTCCCGCCGAAGCCTTCTCTTATTGCGTAGCAGTTCGTTGATATGCCCAGAAGCTCGACTGCTGCTAGAATTAGAATTAAAATTACAAGCCGATATAATAGGTGTGGAGTGTTGTGCAGCTAGTGACATAACAACACTAGTGCTTCAACTGAGCTATCAATCTCTTCTTTTTGATACATGTTTGGGAAGCCATCAATATGGGTACTTACATATTTTCTGTATTTAAGCCAATCTGTTTTACTAGAAGTTAGAAGATGTGTTCGTTTTGAAAGCTGTGGATGGTCGTAGAGAAGTTATATGGGCGAGTGATCCGATGGAAGATTTTTGGAGTGTTTCACATGAACATGGCCTCTAGGAACTTTTTTTGTGACGGTAAAATCCGCTTTGGGTATCGATGTGTATTGATCAGAACTCGCAAATAACTGTCGACCGTTTCTCGTTGTCTGCAAATAAGTGTCTTTTCCTGACTCTGAGACTCAGAGAGCACCCGATTAATGGGGTCCGGAGTGAGCTCGCTCGCGCTCCGAGCTCAAAGTCCGCTTTGTCGTTTTTAGTGAAGCAAAAGGTCTTTTGCATATGTATTGGTATACAGTGCACGTATAGGCAAGCAAGTCGTTAAATATTGGTTTTGCGGACGAAATATCGACGCATTTCCGCGACTGTATCGTATGTCGCTTTTTTTCGAAATTGAGATTTTAATGCAAAATTGTTAGGCACCTAATGTCCCACTACCCTGTGAAATATTATAACTGAAAGCCCTATAGTTCCGATAAAAATTAAGTTTCAATTTTATCGTATGTTACAATGTGCGCGCGAAATTATCGTATGTCCATACAAATTTGCATGGAAATACTACAATCGCACAAAAATACCGAGTACAAAAATAAAGAAAAAGCTTCTCCTGTAAAATTTGATTTTTCTACATACGACGACATACGCGACTGTACGGAAATGCGTCGATATGTGTCCCCGTGGTCGTGAAAGGGTTAAAATATAATACCCTCTGCAAGGGTAGTTATACAAAAATTCTTTATCAGCAAAAATGAGTTACATTCCCTACCCTATCCAAAAACAATTCTCTAAATACTTTGAAAACATTTAGATTTATTTGATCTCAGTACAAAAAAAAAAAAAAAAATACAAGTGCCAATAAAAAATTAAAACGTAATATTTCTTACCTTTAGCATAGCAAAGCCGCAACCACAATGCCTTTGGAACATCAAGGAAACACAGATTGTCTAAAAATTAAAACGCACGAATTATTATTACCTGTGTGGCTGGCAATAATAATAATTATTACGTGCCTAGGCTTCTCGGCTCTTTTCTCAGGACTTAATTTGGGATTAATGTCTATGGACCGCACGGAATTGAAGGTGGTATATATATTTTAGAAAATACAATCTCTAAAGAACTGGTAAAATTTTAGATACTGCGGAATACAGGCACGGAACAAGAAAAAAAATATGCGTCGAAAATTGCACCTGTTAGAGATCAAGGTAACTATTTATTGTGCAGTATTCTCTTGGGTAATGTGTTGGTTAACTCAACATTTACCATTCTGCTGGATGGTTTAACCTCTGGATTGTTTGCTGTTATATTTTCAACATTGGCTATTGTACTATTTGGTGAAATAACGCCTCAGGTAAGTTTCATTTTGAACTTCTTAATTTACATTTACATTAACAAATTGCCATTAAAGAAAATATTTTAGTTACAAGTTTCAAATAAGGTTTTAATAAGGGGGTAAAACAATTCATACAATTTCCGAATCTAGTCTCTCAGTTTAACCAAAATTCTTGTTATTATTTTAGTTATTGCCGGAAGAGGCAGGGATATATGACTATATCATACAGCTCCCATAGAAAAAATCGGAAAACAATAGCAACCTTTTTCTACGTTTTTTTAATTTTTCAATGAAATATTTTTTTAATCGGTTGACTATATCATATCATATACACTGGTCGGCATATATATTTTGACAATAATCAAAGTGAAATATACTCGAAACTTGAACTTGCTTCTTTTAACTTTTGGTATCAATGGAAAGGTAATTTAAATGCCGTTTAAATGATACCATACTTTACTCATTCGATATTTATTGAAAAGGGCAATTTTGAAAAAAAAATTAAAAAAACAACTTTTTCCCTCGTCTTGAAAACTAACATTTTTGGATGCAAAAAGTTTCTTTAAACAAAAATAATAGTAACTGCAAAAAGAATTTTGCAAAAATAATTTTCTTTTATTTTTTATGATTTTTCGAAGGTGACAATGTCGGAAAAAATTTGTATGGAAAAGAGAAAAATATGGCTTAAATGCGTATTTCTAAGCATTTTCAAAAAATTACGGCAAAACGGCATTTAAATTACCTTTCCATTGAAACCAAAAGTTAAAAGAAGCAAGTTCAAGTTTCGAGTATATTTCACTTTGATTATTGTCAAAATATATATGCCGACCAGTGTATGGGACATTCTTTTACAAATCGTACGGATTCGAGAAAATTTTTTTTTCCATATCTCAGAATTGAATGAAAATTTTTTTTTTCAGCTTTTATGGAAGATTTTATTCGACACGTGTAAAAGGATTTTACTCCAAAAAAATAGTTTCCATTTATTTTTTCTATATATAAAATATATTATCTCCGCTTTCAGTAGTCACATAATAAAAACTTTTTTTTTATTCAATAGGTATTAATTTTGCCTTTCAAGTTTTTTACTTGTAATTTTTTTATTTGTTCAGAAAAAACATTATAAACAATTTAATGGTTTCAAAGCTGATCCGCACAACATATATAATTAGGAAAATTACAATTTAATTCTATACGTCATTCCTAAGAAAAAACACTTGGATTTAGAGTGGGTAGGTAATAAGATATAAAATAACATTCAACGCGCTGCGGCAGCATGTGGAGCGCGCGCTGCGCGAAGAGTCGAAAATTATTTAATTTCTCTTGATCTAATGAAGACCCCACTCTAATTCCTTTTAATGTTTATTAAGCGAAACATAGGGATAATAAATTGATTTTTTCAATTAAATAAGTTGTGGGGATCGGCATTGAAATGTCGATATAATGATAAATTTGTTACTAGTTCTTATAAATAAAAAATTAAATTAAAAAATAAAATCACTTTTTGAAAGCTAATAAAAAAAATTGTAACGATACGATTAATAGAACAAGAGATAATTCATTTAACGTGTTCAAGGATAGAGAAAACCATTGATATTGTCAAAAATCATAACTTTAAAAAAAAAAATTTTAAGCAAAATACCGATACACGTGTCTTTTTATTTTGCTTCCTACACTTGAAAAATTTTTTTGACAAAAATCGGAATTGTGACGCAAAAAAAGGTGTACGATTTGTAAAAGAATGTCCCATATGCGCTGTAAGAAGTATCAAAAAATCTATCGGGTTATCGAGTTACCTAAAATTGAATCAAGAAAAGAATTGATAAAGATCTTAATATTGTACTATATAGCTTTTATGATTTTATACCCTTGCAGAGGGTATTATAAATTCAGGCAGAAGTTTGCAACGCTGTGAAGGAGACAACTCAGACCCCATAAAGTATATACATTCTTGATCAGCATCACGATATGAATCGTAATACGTCTGTACGTTTCTCATTAACCTAGTCTCTCAGTTTTAAAAATATATTTCTAAAACTTTACCGAAAGTTCTGCAGTATATTAGTCGGATCGGGCCGGATGGGGCGACTATATAGCATAGCTCCAAAACGAGAGATTGAAAAAAATTCTCACGCCGTTGTTTTTTTCCATAACGACAATCGATTTTCAAATTAAATTTTATCGAAATCGGATAACTATTTCATACAGCTGCCATAGGTGAGATCGAAAAATATATGTAGAACTAATGGAAATAAATTGATAAAGTCGTTGTTTTTTATCCCACAAGCATGATTTTTGAAATATTAAGTTTTTTAACAACCCTTGAATTGAAAAAAAAAATTTCATAACAAGAAAAGAAGCTAGCTTAGGCGAGCCGAAGCTTATTAACCCTTGCAGTCATCAAATATGACGAACAAAATGCATAAAGGCTAAACAACATCGAAGCTATGTCGATTTTTCTATTATGACAGCTCTATATATATAATATAGTCGTCCGATAGTAATGAAATTTGATTCGAAATTCATGAGTCATTAGAAAACTCTATATTTTAATTTAATTTAGCTTTTCTGATAAAAAACAACTATGTTTTCTTTTTTTTCCTTTAAGGGCTTATATCAAGTTGCAATTTTAAAAAAATCTAAACTTTATTTTTGCCTATGTTGAATGGATATATACGGGGGGACTAACAAAAGTTCGCTTCTGGCCAGGTTCCTCTAAACAATTTAAAAAAAAATGGAAATTTTTTTTTTTTCATAAATTGCTACTGTATACTCGTCGAATAAGTAAAGAATTAGTCCCTAAGGTCAGCAAGACCGAGAAATAGGTTTAAAAGAGTCAGGAGCGCTGCGGGAAATCCGGCAGCTCGAACGCCTTAAAAACTTTAAATTGATTTTTCTCCGAACCACGTTTTTTCGCAAGGGTGACACTCTCATTGCATAACTATTGCCCTTATTGATATGAACCAAACGGCATTTTACTCTTTAGATGTCTGGCTATGGCCTCAAGCAGAACCGGAAATATTCATTATTATTTAAAAAAGTTATAAACAAGTAAAATTGAAAAAAAGGGTTAAAAATTCTAAAGTCCGAATATTTTTTTTTTATTGAAAACTTTTCATTCTGCTTGAGGCCATAGCTAATTCGATACAGAACATGAAACCGTTTTGGTTTTTGCTCTCTAATAATTATCTTCCAAGAAATGATGTCACCCATCTACGAATCGGAGTAGTTTCAGCAGCCATTTTCAGAACCGCCATTTTGAAAAAAAGATAAACAAATTTTTTTTAAAGTAATTTCATATATGTTCTTTGTTCTACATGTAAACAAGAAAGGAAGCTAGCTTCGGCAAGCCGAAACTTATATACCCTTGCAGTCATTAAATATGTCAAAACAAATACATATGATTTTCCATATATTCGACTATTGTTCATATGGCAGCTATATGATATAGTTGTCCAATTTTGACGAAATTTAATTTGTAATTCAAGAGTCGTTAGAAAACCCTATATTCCAAAAATCATGCTTGTCTGATGAAAAACAACGATGTTATCATTTTATTTCCGTTATTTCTATATAGATGTTTCGATCTTTCCCTCGGCAACTATATGATAACGTTGTCGGATTTAAATGAAATTTTTTTCTCGATTCAAGGGTTATTAAAAACTCCATGTATTAAAAATCATGCTCGTGGAGTTAAAAACAACGACTTTTTTATTTTTTTTATTTTTATTATTTTTATATATATAATATTTTTCGATTATTTCTATGGAAGCTCTATGATAGAGTTGTCCGATTTTGATAAAATTTCATCCGAAATTCAATAGTAGTTAGAAAACGCCATCTGGAAGAAATCAAGTCGATCTGATAAAAAACAACGGCGTAAGATTTTTTTATTTCATTCTCTTGTATTGGAGCTATCCGATATAGTCGGCCGATCCGGCCCGATCCGGCTTATATACTGCGTGCAATAACTATACAACTTTTGGGAAAGTTTCAGCAAGATAGCTTTAAAACTGAGAGACTAGTTTACATAGAAACAGACAGACGGACAGACAGACAGACGTACATACATATTTCGGTTCAGATTGTGATGCTGATCTAGAATATATATATACTTGCCTCTATACTCTGAGGTATCTTCTTCACTGCGTTGCAAACTTCTGACTGAAATTATAAAACCTATAGCTCTGCAAGGGTATAACAAGTTTTGCTCCTTTTGATTAATGCGTCTTCCGGGTATAACGACGTAATGTCGTCGGTCCCTTGAATGTAGCTATAACTGGATTCTGCTGTATACAAGTAAAATAATGTTATCTTTTACCGATTGAAGTCATTGAAGTTCGGTATCAAAACTGCCATTCGGAATCGCCCAAACCACTGTTCAGCGGTTTGAATCGAAAGTTTGTTATCTCCTAAGAGAGCAATAATCTGTCTGCGAGATTCCGCGGCAGTTTTTTCAAAATTGCCCGAATTTTTGCGTTTGTGAACTCCATTTCAATCGATTGTAACTTTTTAACGTGGAAGCTAAACAAACTATATGGCATTTTAAAGGCGATACCAATACCTTTCAAACGATATACAGCATTGCCAGATACGATTATATTTGACTTTATAAGGGTAGCGCGAAATTTAAATGCTTAAATTTTTAACTTTATTTGAAAACAAATTTATTTTGCGAAAAAAAATTTCAAAATTGAAAAATCAAAAAAGGGGCGGGAGGGGGCGTTGCTCAGCTGCGGCATTTCGGTGTCCCACAAAAACCGAGTAGATTCTTAAAGTGTACAGTACTGTGCATAAAATGAAAAAGGATCAGAAAAAAAAAATTAAAAATTGCAAAATTTATTAGTTTTTGAAAAAAATATCGATTTTCGGACTTTTTTTCTCACTAATTATTTTCTTAATTAAACAGTTTTCAATATTTTTTGATAATCCTAGTTCATTAGTTAAAGGAAACAATTAGGAACATTTAAAAAAAAATTTTATGACGATTGGTTTACGCCAACGCCTTCAATTACTTC